TTCGCTCTCTGAGCAATTTCTAGTTTTTTTTATCAATTCTGAGAAATTGGAGCAGCTTTTAGTAGTTAAATTGGCCATGCTTCCATATTTCGCAGTGTTTTAGTAGACAATTTATGAATTTCCTGTGAAAAAAGGAGCCAGATATCCCCCTCCCCCCTTGCCCCTGAGGCGGATGATGGGTGCAAGATGGATGCAGCCGGGCTGCTAGGTCATCGGTTTTTTTTTTAAAGAAAATTCAAAATGGTGGACGGCGATTCACACTCGATTGACTCGAGTGTCCTTGATGAAGAATTTTTACAAGCTTAATATTAATATTTGGTTTTGATTAAGGACAATGTTATTTAGCAACGCTGGTTACGCCGCAAAATTGCACAAAAATGCTTAGAAATCTTACTTTTGTTGTACAATTTCCGTCAATTTGTATATTTTTGCATCAGACCAAATAAAGGAAGAGAGCAACAAAATTTTTTTTTTGTTTTTTTTTTAAGCAATTTTTGAGCAACTTGCGTTACAGAAAGCAACTTTTGCTTTTTTGAGCAACTTTTTGAGAAATAGCGGGCAACTTTTTGGGAAATCTCGAGAAACTTGTGGAAAGCCCTAAATAGCTCCGTTTTCGTGACGGATTAGTGTGAACGGTAGGCCTGACCGTAGAAATAAAGCTGCCTTTACAAGAGGAATCCAGGCATTCTGTTTTCAGAAAACCCATACATCTGTTAAGCTTAAGTATGTATCACGGAAATCCAGGATATAGTAATTATTTCAATTCCCAATTTCCTATCAAAAATCAATGACAAAAGAATATCAAAGCGAACGAATTGAAGACCGAGACTTCTATTTTTGTGGTGGCCCTTAAAAAGAGCCATTTTGAACGTCTTCACAAGGCCCGTTTTTAAATCTTAAGTTTTCTTGAAGGTTTCCTACTAGGAAGAAATAACTTTGTCTCTTATCATTTTCTGATGTTACTAAATCTAAGTTATGAGTTTTCTGAATCAGCTGAGCGCGTGAGACAAATATGTTAGCCCCTCCGCCGCCCCCCCGCCCCGGGCTAGATCTTCAAACACCACTGTACAGCCTAATTTGAGTATCCTCTTAAATTGCCGTATACAGCTTATTTGGTTGGGGCATTTCTCCCATTCACCAAATTTCAGTTGTTGTTCATACGGTTTGTTATTTAGTCAGCTTCTGCGAGAGGAGTTACCTGTTGCGTTACGTTTTTTGCGTCATATTATATTCCTGGCTTTGAATTCCGATTTCTTGTGATCAAGCCGGAAGCGTTGAAGCAACTTCCCAGAACTAAATCGAACGGATAGCATTTCATTTGCAGTTTAAAATTGAGCTCGTACTGTTCACAGCGCTCAATTGGACTCACTTGGTCTCTTCGAAGAGTAAATTATCGCTTGCTGGATTCTTTTAGTCTGCGAGAACGAATCGTTTGAAGCCAGGAGGATTAGAAATACCTCTGAAGTGAATTCGGACACAAAAAGCTGAGAAAGGTAAACAAGGTATTATCACTTTGGCGGGTGGCAAAACTTGAATCTGTTTATTCTCTTTTCCATTCCCTAGCTCTGCACGTGATGTAAAAACGTATGGCTTTTTGGAGTTTACGTTTTCTTCATTATCTACATTTCTTAAATCAACCTATATATAACTGTAATTTCGAAGTTGCGTTTCAAAACAAGACCGTACATTTCCCGTGATTTTAGGTCAAGAGAACTGCTCGATGTTATAGAAGCGCAGCTAGTCCAGTGTACCTTTTAATACCGTAATGATTGGATTTGGCTCCCTCCTTCCAATAAGCGCCCCCTTTCGAATAACCGCCCCCCTTCGAATGTGCTTTTATAAATAAGTGCCCCTATTCAGCCCTATTCCAATAAGCGCCCCAATTCCAATATTATTTGCTGCTTTAAGAAAAATCAGTCTTGCCATGTGCAGGGCTAGAACGGCTCAGGGTTGTTCAGCAAGCCATGAGTAATTCACTCGAAAAGGATCCTTTCGACGGGATCACTAAGTCGCATGTCGAAGATGCCGCATAACGAAGCATTTATTTACGTATTGACGTGACATTTTAAGTGACACTGTCAAAGCTATCGGCGTCGAAATAGATTAAAATTCCCTCAAAACATTCACCGTATATTTGTTACTGTTACAGTTTCTGGTATTTTTCTTTTGTTGTTAAATACCGTCTTAAAAAATTTTGTTTTTGAACATTCGGCTGTTTCTGTCCCGATTGATCGCCCTGTCTCGAATAAACGTACGCCCTCCCTTGAGGAACCAAATGTAAGTAAGCGCCCCAGGCGCTAAATCGAATCATCACGGTACTTAATTATTATAAATAAAACTTAAAGTTGTCGTAAATCTCTGTGGGGCTAGTCCTTGCCAGTTTCAAACTCTTAACTAACGTGAATCGGGATATGTTTCATTGTGCCGCCCAAGGCAAGAGGCGCCCTCAATTCTCGTGACGATAATACTGTGGATGAAGGATGGAAATTTTATCTGTTTCTGTTTTATTGCTATTTTTGAGATACTTTTGCCATCCTATCCCGATTCTTGGGCCCCTAATTAGGATAAAAACTGCTAACCTTGATGAACAAAACAAATTAAACTTACTAAACAATTTGCAATGATGGTTGGAAAGAAAAAACCGGGGCAGACTGAAATGCCTTTGACCCAACTACAACAACAATCTTAGAACACTTAATATAGTTTATTGGTTGAGCCTAGGGTTGAGCCTGTAAATAAAAGCACGGCTTTTGGCGAATCGAGTCCCAGTTAAAAGCCATAGTGCTGACCGGGAGCAGTCTCTCTTTTCCTCGAAAATCCGTGTGGAAGAAGAACGCTAAATGAGTGAGGTCAGTGAGCGGTCGCGCTCGCGAGCATGCGAGCGTGGGGGAACGTGAGAGGCTCCCGTGACTGCTCGCATGTCAAACTCGCAGTTACGCTTGTTTTGCGTCCTTCCCCACGGATTTTCGAGTAAAAGTCAAGAGACATTGCTCGCCGTCTAAAGCGATCAGTAAGTACGCCAAAGACTCGCCCTTTAATTTCAGTTTAGCTAGATACATTTATATCTGACAGCATAGACAGTTTTGATGTATAGTTGTGTCGACTCAACTAGAAAATATATATTACAGACATTAGAGACTGCTCGAGGCTGGTTTTGCAAGTTCAACGTGACTGAGGGATTTTCGCAATTTCTGTGAGCGGCTTCGCGACATAATAAAACCCCTCTGGCACCCGGGGTATTGAGTGGATAGAATAACTTCATTTTTTTTTTCTACAGACTCGGTGTTCAATACATTTTCTATTTGCTCTATGAAGGAAGATGTCTTCACGTAATTCGGAGGAAGAAAACATTCTCCCTGTCGAGCCCAGCGATGAAGCCAACAACAACGAAAAGGAAGCCTGTGATGAGGTTACAAAGAAGCTGGAGCACGTTCTTTTCTCGAAAATTGTGAGGCTCAATGTCGGCGGCCACTTTTTCTCGACCAGTCTAGCAACCCTGAATAAAGATCCAGGTATGTTTTGGTATGTTATTTTCAAATTACACTGTCATTTATCTGATTTCTCAAACACCGGTACTAGCGTTCTTCCTAATTGCAATTCTTGGTTATCTTGTTTCCCAATATAATGGCAGGTTCCATGCTACACGCTATGTTTTCGGGAAGATTTGACACAAAGCCAAGCGAGGATGGATCTTACTTCATTGATCGCGATGGAACTCACTTCCGGTATATCCTGAATTATCTTCGCACTGGGCAGCTTATTGTGCCTAAAGACGAGATGGTGCGAATTCGCGAAGAGCTACTGGCCGAGGCTGAATTTTATCAAGTTGAGGGGATCATCAGTGAGCTCACTGCGAGGCCATTTAAGAATTCAGTTATTCTATCCTCAGATCAACGCGAAACCTTGATGAATTGGTTGAAGGAAACTCAAGCACTCAATAACACCAGGGACAACTTGTTCTTTGCTTTGTTATATCGTGCTTCCCGTGATGGCTGGGCTGCTGCCGACTTTCACGCCCGATGCGACTACAAGGGTCCTACGGTGACAGTGATCAAGAGTGGCAAATACATATTTGGAGGCTATACCGAGCAACAGTGGGAACATACCGGTAAGCATTTTAACCCAGCGTATTTGATTTAGGCATACCAACAAAACAAGACCTTAGAAACTAAGTTTATATGTCACAAAAACAGCCTTGTCTTTTTTTCTTAGTTCCTGTGGGGAGCTCAGTGCAAATTATATATATCTAATTGTCATGTTTTCTACTGCTCTTAATTTCTTTAGATTTTGAGAATATGACTCCTAGCAAAGTCGATCGAACCCGATCGAGCTGAATTTCAATCGAACTCAATCGAACTCAATCCATGGATTAAGCTCGATCAGGAACATGTTTCGATTGAATTCGGCAATCGAACGAAATAGAACTCGTACAAAAACAATAGCTCATATTAGCATTCTCAGTACTAGACTGGAACTAGCTTGCAACTGTCTTTTCAAATGCACATAGCATTTATCTCTTGTTGCCTTGTGTCCACGTGACTCGTTTGGTCACGTGGACACGAGGTTACGGAGTGAGTCGGTACCTTCCTTCCTGTGCAAGAAAATCCTGTGTAACCCATCTTTGCGTTGATAATGTAATATTCCTGTGAAGGGAGGTACAAAGATATGGCTTGGGCAACTTGCCGGTTAATCAGCTTTGGCTACGAAAGGCAGGTATAAAACGTAACTGAACTGAATACATGATAATACTTGTCTTTTGGTTAACATCTTTTCTGGCAGGTAATGTTCTCCCGTGATATCTGATATTGTTCACTAACTTCATGCCAAGGGTTTAGAAAAGGGGTGCAGTGTTCTTAAGTAGGTATGTAAAGGAGTATCTTTTCTCGACGAAAGGTATACGGAAGGCATAGCTTTCCTGTCTGGACTTTGGGGCGGAACCTCCCCTTATAAAACATTTTTAGTCTC